TGAACTGAAGTAAATGCTTGATGAGAAAGAAAAAATTTGTATAAACAGCTGAAAGTACTGAAGTGCTGAAAAACAGAACTGATTAAATTTCATCTGCCAAAAGTACCTAAATTAAAAAAAAAAAAGTGAATAAAACATTTTTGAATAAATGTAGAATCTGAATTTTCTTTAAAATTATTACTGTGCTTTTTGTCTAAAACTAGTGTTTCAGTATACGTTTTTTCTTTTTAGAGATAACTTAACCTGCTTGGGAATATGAGGGTTCCATAGTTTTTAGGGTGATTATGTGGTTATTTTGAGAGTAGGGTTCGGAGTATGTAGGAATTTTCCTAAGAACATATTGCATTTGTACCGTACCTAAAGTAGTATAAATTAGCGTATAATTTAACGTTTTTGATTCCTATAATATATTTTATTTTATTACTCATTTGTCTAGTGCTATTTATTTTACAATTTTATTTTTAGTGAATCATTAATTCCTCTTCGTTTTTTCTTATTATCATTCAAATGTATTAGCTTTGCAGATCTAAATGTTGCTAAATATTTACAAAAATCATATTTGTCATGCACAAACTGGAGTATAGTTTCGGTCAAAAACAGCTACTAAAACACCTGTTGATTAAAGATTTAGAGATTAAAAGAAACATCTACAAAAAAGTGAGATGAGAAAATTTGTCAAATGCCACTAAAAGTTAATAATACAGAAAACGGATTAGGGGTTTACGACGTCGTTTTACGTTGTTTAATGAGTGGACTTAGAAGAGGAGAATGAGTGAGTGAAAAAGACAGTGCTTAGGCATTTTATGACTACACCCCTGAATAGTTGCGGCAGAACTATAAGAACGTCTAGTACCTTGTTTCTTAGCAAAAAATACTTGTCTCAGATTTCACTTGGTTTATATACCTTTTCTCCGATTACAGCAACAATTTTTTCATCTTTTTTTTTTTTTTAATTTTTACTTTTTGGAGCTCAGTGGAACATTAGTGGTTACAGAATGAAGCCGCTGTAAAAACAATTGAAATATTTTTTGCTTTTCTTTCATTTGCTTAAAATATTTCTTTCCAGCGCTGCACCAACCGTCGCAAAAATATGGTTAAAATCAAAACTCTTCAAACCATTAGCCTCATCTGCTAATGAGCTCCAAATTCATCCTGGCAACAATTTACTTTGAACAAAATGCGCAGAAGTTTAGCGATGAGTTTGATTATCTTCGGTAATTTCTGACTAAAGAGCGAATCATATCGCTTTTGCACGAATCTGAAGGGCTAGTGAGTAAGTCAGAAAGTGAAGACATTCTCAGACTTAACTGGAAATACAGAGAATTTTTGCAAAAGATTTACAAAAAATGTTCGCAGGAAAAGTCAAGGTTCAGAAACGATCAATTCCGGTCGGAAATGAAACAATTTAGTTGATAGGTTCAAATTTTAAGTTGCGAGGAATGAACCGTTTTTGGATTATTAGTCAGCTTGGGAAACAAACAAGCTACTTTCTTCCTGAAACTTTAACCATATTTTTTTTGTTAACTTGTAAAATTTAAACTATCGCGAAAGATATTTGTAAAATGACTGAAAACTTGAATAGAACTAACTGAAACTAACTGACCGATTACAGCTTTCGTCAGCATCCAAAAATTAGTCAGATAGAGCAGCTGCATCAATGAGGAAATTTACAAAAGATTAATTCCTTTTTTGACACCAAAACCTTAAACTTTTTTTGGATAAAACTCACTGCTGGAAAAAATTTTTTGAAGACTTTAACGGGTCTTGTTGAAAAGCAAGTGAGAACAAATTTTCGTTAATCTGTTCAACAATTTCGACCTTTTATCAAAAGTAATTTTGTCTAGTACTATAATTACAATTTTTCTGCAACACTGATAAGTGAATCTATTGCCTCTTCTGTGATCTCAACGCTTAAACGATTTTATCTTCTAAACTTTGAAGTTGTCGTATTTTTACTGTCATTTTTGAGCAGATTTCAACAATGCTTTACCTGAATAATGAACTCAGCCAGTCATTACATAAACTTGTTTCCTTACAACTAGGAAAAGTTTACAGATTTTTAGTTTTTTATTTTTGAACAGAAATCGCGTGAGCTTAAAAATCAAATTCTAAACTAGACGTTCACAAAAAATTAAGCAAAACGTTTACCCCGAAAGAAAACAGCATTGTATCGAGCATACCATAGTACTTATCAAACTTCTGTTGACTGGTTGGTTCATAAGATCTTTCTGACTTTGACCCCCATCCTTTTTATTACACACTAAAACTTGTATAATATTTGAGTGATGAAACTGTTAAAGTTGTGGAGTTGAAGCAGCACACTATGTGACCAATTGGTCAAAATCTTTTTGGATTTACAGTGCTGACAGCTATGACTGTTGCAAAGCCACTGCAGGTATTCCACATTTGCCCATGATAAACTGCCAACACCTCATTGCGATTTTTAATGATGTTATCAGAAAAACTGATAGAAAAATGTATGCTTTTTAGCATATCAGTTATCATCTATAAAAAAGTTCATGAAGAAAAGTGTATTACATTAATATAATAAAATTTCTGTTATCAAAACTACTGAAGATTTTAGGAAATTTTCAAAAGCACAAGAAAAAATGGTTTTATGTATTTTTGCAACGGCTTACAACAATTTCTCATTGATAAGGCTGCCTCTATCAGAGGTTTATACTGTAAACTTGTACTTACTCAGAAGTGAGTGAGGAGATAAGGTTTTCTACACTTACAGGCACTGTACTGAATTATGTGTCACAAAGATATTTCAAAACAAAGTGATTGAAGAGTAATGACAATTTTCCTACAGTCATCAAAGGTCGGCTTCATCAAACAGTTCTGTCACACGAAACTAATATTGGCATTAGTCAAACTGTAATAAATTTTGGTTTTCTCTGAAAATAACGAAAGCTTTTTAAATTATTTTTTGTGTGTCATTCTTTTAGTTCTAAACCAGAAAGATTCAAAAACTTTTTAGAAAAAAAACTTTTTTATTTCTGCATAAGAGCGGTTACAAAATGAGTTTTTTTGAGAAAATAGTATTGTAGTCACTTGCATACTGAAAGGTACAACGGACTTGAAAAAAGCGACTTAGACGCTTAAGAATGGTTGAACTGAGGTTTTCAAGAAAATTTTCAAAAAAAAAGAGACTGATTTTTTGACAGAATAGATTTTATTAATGCAGTGAGAAAACTACAATATGTCTGGCAGTTAAAAAATACTTGATACTAATTCCCTACCAATTTAAAGTTACTTTCTTGTTCTATTCCTTGACGGAACTCTAACACTACTGATAAATCCTTTTTTCAGTTACAAAACTTCTCACAAGGAAAGCGTGAAACCAAAGTTGAGACCAGAAATCTTATATAGAATAAAAAATACAAAAAAATACAAAAAAAATTTTTTTTT